ACTATAACTTATCTATATTTCTATATCTTCATATATTTCATTATATATCATTCTAATTCTATTTCTAATTCTCATTTTCATCCTCATCCACATTAGCATTAGTGTTATACTATTAGCATTATTATTAGCATTAATATTAGCATTATTACTATCATTATCATTATTATTATCTTTTTAATCAGCTTGTATGGAAGAACACCTTGGAGATTGGAGCCGCAGGGCTACAAAGAAAAGATAATAAAACAGTMGTGGTAGTTCGTTATAACCCGCCGGGAAATTATAATACGACAGTGGCGTTTAAAAGTAATGTTTTCCCAGCGTCGTCAAAACAAACAAGTTCTAGCCAAAGCGATGCTTCGCATGTCCAGATACAAATACCGCTGACCTTAGTAGCTGTCTTGGCCGCTATGCATATTTTAGCTTAAGGTGGAATTCCGGAAAGTCATTCGATTCTACTGTTGGACACTAAGCCCAACCAATGGGTAGGACTATACCGAAAATCTATCCAGTTTTGGTACTTAGGGGACCGTTTCTACAATTTGAGACGAAGTTGCTGTCTCTGACCCTTTCTCTCTCATCCGGCTCTGGCTCTATCTCTTGACGAGTAAGGTTATGAATGGACCTCCACATAATGTTTTTCCAATTCAGACCAATCAAGAAGTGTAATTTCTATGAGAATAAGATGCTTTGTTCGAGTTGTATCCATATTCAAGTGTCTTCTAATGTGCAACCTAGCACAAACGTCAAACAAAGAAATTATACTCTATTCTAGGAAATGATACGCGGTCTGAAATGGGAAAACATTACGCCCGAACGTGCCTGGACCGAGGTCTGTTTAATTGGAACAATTAAGATAATACTTCTGTTTCGCGAGTTCTCTGTTGCTTAGGGTAAGCCTCAGTTTTGTACATAATTTTCATGTGTTCCAGTGAAAGTCTGTGGATTAATAGCTGCAGAAGTCTAAAAATAATCTAAAGAAAATGGTAGACCTTATTAATTTTTTTTTTTTTTTGGACAATTTAAACGTTTTGCGTTATCGTTTTTCACGGATGACGTCACGATTGTGCAAAGCTGGATAGAAATGCGGACAAGCCAAGCTAAGCGCACATGTTAGAGTGCATACCACATATATATCCGTGAAAAACTTTGTAAGAAATTGCAWAAATAAGCAGAAATTAGTAAGTTTAGTAGGCCTTTGCACTAATTTGTACAATTTTGTAAGGTAATTTTTCAACGCAAAGTTTTATTGGAAGGAGCGAGGGCGTGCACGTTATATTCACCTGTAGGTGAATATAGCATCATACATATGGCGTAAATTGTGACTAATGAGCGAGAAATGTGTGTAAAAATACTAAATATGGATCTTACACGCGTGAAAATGTGCTTAAGTGTGTTGAGGACCTTGTTTAAGAATAAAGTATTGCGTGGTCGATACTAAACATCTACTGTATATTAACATGTAGTTTATTAAATTTTCCCTAAGCTTTCGGAGATAATTCTCCATCATCAATAGTTACATGTTAATAGTTAGCTTTAGATGAGTTAATTGTTGGTTAAGATTAGGATTTTCCCATTTTATGTGCATCGCTTCTTTGAGGTCAACTTGATACTTCTTCGCACGGTATGTTGAGGAAGCTTGTGAGAACGCTTCCGAGAGATGTTCTCCCGGATAAGCGTTCACAAAGGACGGCTCGTTACAGACACTAAAGAAAAACGCTTGCAAATGCGTTCCTTTGGACACTTTTTTCCAAGAATTCAAAGAGTTTGAGGCAGAATTTTTTTTCCCTCAAGTATACAAAAAATAAAAAAACAAAAATGAAAATAAAAATAAATAAAATAAAAATCGCCAGCGACCAAGATAGTGTATTAATAAAGACAATATGAAAGAATTAGCTTTAGGTTTCAAGCATGGACACTAAGTTGACACGGCTTAAAAACGCGTGATTGGTTAATGCAAAATATTAACTGCGGATGCGGATGGTTTTCCGCTGAATTTAGCGCGGGCTTTCAGTTCAAAATGGCGGACGAGAAAGGATTCTTGTCGAGCGCTTTTTTTCCCCGAAAATCGAATTTTTTTTACTAACATATCTGGATTAAATGCCGTAATTGATCAAGAAAACAAGTCAGATGAGTATTTTGATCTTACGTGAATGGTTAATTGTATTGTTTTTAGTCTTATTTGGCCAAAAACAAGTCATCGAAGCGTATGTATTTGAATAAAAAGACAGCGAAGAAAGGCAATTATTGCGCCGTATCATGATCAGTCTGGCTACAGCCCTGATCAGTAGATGTTATCTATTATATTTACGTATACGTATAGTACAGTTCCAGGAATTATCCGTCCCTCYCCCCATGCAGGAATTATTTTAAGAACCCCCTACTCCCAGAAAGTTTTTTTTTTTTTCTTCCATAATTTTCGTTGTTCTCGAATCAAAAAAAGCTCTATTACTGAGAATACCTCAAACACAACTGTGGATATGTGGTAACAATTCTCAACAAATATTTAGAGCAACATATTTCTTTAATATTAATGTACATGTGATTTCCTTTTGCTTTATCAATGCTGGCGATATTTATGAACATCATCGGGAAATGCGTAGTTGTCTAGCATATCTGGGTCTAGAGCTCAGAATACCTGGCCCACATAAATGTAAATTAATTTCTTATATTGTAAAGCACTATTGGGCATAACTTATACTGGAAGTACCGCTATATGAATAAATAAACTATTAGTAGTAGTAGTAGTAGTATTAGTATTATTATTATTAAAGGTTTTATAGTAAGAATTTTGTTACATCGCTTTTGGTATCATCTTTATCACCAATATATACTGCTTGCATTGCTTTCATCAAAGTTGCTATCATCTCTATTAAATTATGGTGGGAGGGAGGGTCAGAACAAATTGTGCCTTACGACTACCCACCCCCTACCCCTCTGCCCACGCCCCCACCTTATGAATATTAATATTGACCGGTCCCTGAGTAAGTTATGTGTTCAGTAATACCGTTATTCGGCCCATTTTTTGTTTGTATTTTCAAAATTTAAGCTCCACTAAACAGCAGGCATGCTTGTATATACCAATTGTCAGACTGAGAACAAGATCAATGTAGTTGTAACTACACGCAATCTTCTTTTCTTCACTATTCCATATTCACGTATTTTAAAAACAAAAAAAACTATATTTTCTTGATTTGTAGCTTCCCAATATTCATAATAATAAGGCGAATAAATAAGAAATATATTTTCAAAAATGTTACTATTTTGAAAATCCAATAAAATTGAGCGGATTTACGGAAATATGATYTACATTTGCCGTCTTAATAGTTCAAAATGGCGGACGAAAGCGTGAAGTGGCCCATTACCTTTTGCATTTGTTGAATAGACGAATAGTCTTGAGGAGTCGCTTGACGTATGACAAACTTAGAAGACATCATGAAAAATAGCTAAAAATACATGCAATTCATAATAAATTAAAAACTCCACTAGTGAAGATAGCGGTCTTCCAGTTCACATACCGGTCTTCCTGTGTTATGTATTTTATTTTTAGGTTGGTCTTCCTGTGGTTTTCAATGACAGGGAACCCAATCCCTTGGTTTGTTGACTTCTCGAAGCTTTTGAAGTTTTGCGAATTAGCAAACAGTTTACGCATGGGAATGTCGTTATTCCTCGCCTCGATCTTTACAAAATGCTGACAGAAATAACTTAGAAACATCCACTACTAAGATGTCTGCTAAGCTCCTATCATCGCTTGTTCAAACTAAATCTATCGAGCTTGTAATGGCACCGATTGCAGCTCAGGTGAAATCATAAGACTTACTTTGAAACCTAACGACAGTTTGTTTATCGCTTTGTCGGCGAAATAACGCCTTAAATGTTTATTTTATGCTACTAAAAACTTTTATACTTTCCTATCTAGTTTATATTTTTGAAATTTCTGTACATAATATTTATTATAATACCATTGATTTGTACTTGCTCCAAGTTATTGTAATTTGCTTCCAGATCAAAAGATGGAACTCCATATATATCTACACAGATTTAAGCATATAATCTCTGAATCGAAAGATCGTTTTTAATCTATCATAATATTTTTTTCTTTTAAGGTATCCCAGCTGATAATACTAAATGAAGCCGGAGAAAGGGATGGTATTCCTATGCCAAACCTGGTCTCCTTTGCCAGGCAAATCAATGTCTCTATCGAGAGCTTAGTGTTGGCTGCTCAGAGCCTTGTTTCTGACAGCAATGATGAGGTACCGCCCAAGCTTTACTATCTCAGACATGGTTTAAAATAATTATTATGAGATTAATGAAATTAAGATTTCTTTAAAAATCTAATTGGATTTACCACTCTATAAGGAAAGCCTAACAGGTTTTGCAACCCCCTTGATAAGACAACTGATAGATCAAATTAGAATTTAGAAGTTGATTTTTGTGGAGGGAAGAAAAACTGGAGAACAGAGAAAAAATACTGGAGAGAACCAAGAAACAAGGCTACTTAAATACGATCGGCCTACCCTATGAGCAGAGCTTTTTTTCTGACCCTCAGAGATTTTTTCTCCCCGACCAGCCAGTCCACRGAGGGTCAGAAAAAAACTCTGCTCGCAGGGTACAGTCAGCCAAGCCTGGCTGGACTTGAATCTGGGTGGCCTTGGTGAGAGGTGAGCACTCTCACAATTATGCTTGTCACCTGTGCCTTTTAGATTTTAGAAGACTTCACTATACARATGTGCTTTATGTACAACTGATCATGTCTTATACTTTAAGAAGTGTAAAATGTGCGCACATTTCTCTGTACTATGATGCATGTATAAAAATGCTGGGAGCTGTAGAGCATGAGAGAAGCAAGCTGTGTGTGCCTTGTACTATTTCTCTTCCTTTTCGAGTGCTCTACAGCCCCCAGTGTGTTTATATCACAGTACATAGGCATAGGCATATATTTTGAAATCCCTTTTGGCTTAAAATCCTTTAAGAGAATGAGGGTTGGTGTAGCAGTAGTCCAATAGTCCCCTTCACAGTTCCCTGCACCATCTTGAAAGGTAGCCATGCCTTTGTAAGGATGCGAGACAAACTGTAAGCTTGCAATGATAGAGACGTGAATAATTGTCAGAGGTGTTAAAAAAGGTCTCTATCATTACAAGCTCACTGTTCATCTCRCTTTGATGCAAAGGCACGGCTACCTTTCAAGAGGGCACAGGGAACTGTGAAGGGAACTATTGCCCCTAGTGACTTCTAGGGTCTTGGGTTAAATTTCTGGACTCAGCTTCACATGTGCATAGAATTTATCTGTGTACTTTTGCATGTGCCCTGACTTAGATCATCCCAGAGTTTGTTTCAGGGTCTAATCTGTAAGTTATCTGCRCCCTAACTTTGATCAACACGGAGATTGTTTCAGGGTTTGATTTTTGAGTTTAGACATGCCCTTAACTTTGTTCTGCCCAAAGAATAATTCAGGGTTCAATCAATGAATGGCAATGATGCCATGACTTTGATCAACAAAGAGTGTGGTTTAGGATAGTAATAAAAGTTGATGACTTTGGTTTTATCATTCATTGATAATATTGTAAAGTAATCTTTCTACAAGGAGGCAGTCACTGTAGTTTATTCCCCTTGAGAATATGGTCACTTTTTGTTGATAAATTTTTTTTTTTTTGTAAACAGGATTTAAAAATAGAAATGCCAGAGGCATGTTCCATGTTGCGAGCTGCTGGTAATGGCCTTCATGAAGCAACCAATAAACTGTTGATAGAACCCCATTCCCATGACGTTCGCTACAGTCTTGTGGATTCAGCTCGGAATATCTTAGAAACAACAATGAATGTATGTAGACATGTATACCTTGTAAAGGGTGCATGTACAACATGCATGTATGCTTTTATAATAATCATGCGCTCTGAGCGATTAGTGGATTTAGTGCTATATAAATAAATATTATTATTATTATTATTATTTATTATTAGGCAAGCATTTAATGCACATGTATTTACAATTATGAATACATATGGGGGAGGTTGTTATGACCATGATTTTCGTAAAGTCTGTTTTTCCCTATGTTTTCTTTGGTCATTTTGTGGCAATCAAAAAAGAAGCTAGCCTCCTTTGCAGCCGTTCTTGGGTTCGTCATGCAATGTTTCCTGCAAAGGAGGCTAGAAAGAAGCAAAATTGCTGCACAAGACATGCAATACAAAGTAGAGTGCAGTGAGTTCAATTTTAAGCTTTGACATATAGAGCAGRAAGCTTGGAGGATTTTAATACTTGTTTCCATTTTTTATATTTGTGTATCTCAAATGAATGTTATTAATTTTATCATCATCATCATCATCATCATTGTTATTATTATCATTTATTATTATTAATACATCAAGATAATTATGCAATTTTTCCAGGGTCCCTTGTCTAAGCTTCTGTGTTCTATGTTTTGAATCTGACAAGGCTTTTTCAAAACTTTGAATGTAAATGATATAGTCAGATGTGTTGTTATCTCCTATCAGGTGCTTTTAGTGTATGACAAGGCTGAAGTGCACAAGATTGTATGTGCAGCACACTGGGTCATGGACAGACTTGGCCTGACTGAGGCAGTCACTTCTCTTAAAGGATTTGTTGTCAGCTTCAAGGTAATGTTTGCAGATGAACAAAATTAGCCATTGTACATTAATAAACTATTCTGAGGTTGAGTTGGCCTTGGACCAAATTAGCATTGCAGTGCATTGTTGGACCATTTTTCTTAGGGACAGATTTAGTTAAGATGGCATCATTGATGTGGTTTCCCAAACCTCATTACAGCAAAGCCGTAGGACTTGCTGCAGTTTGTACCAACAATGCATTTTGGACTTTTTACTGCTTTTGTACATTGATGACCAATAAGCATTTTGGTCACTTGATCGTCTTGAAAAAATGTTTTGTCATGTTTATCAAACTGTGCATTTACTTTCAGGGTATCAATATTTTAAAATATCACAAAAATAATACATGTGCTGCAAATGCTTCAGCATTGTAACACTGTCCCCCTCTCTTCCAGTAATGGTGTATGGTTGCAACACTTACCTTCTTCTTTTATTTATGTCTAAAGGGATTTTCAGAGTCACTGATTCTTTTAGTCAGCCTGTGCGACAAGAGACAAAGAGTATGTATCAATGACAGATGGGTTACTTGGGCATGTATTTTGTACTTTTTATTGCCTTACATTCCAAAGACCTGAATTCTTAACTTAATTGTGCACAAGTTTTATACAATTGAACCCTACCCCTACCAACCCCAAGGATAGGTAGGAGAATTTAACTTTCATGTACTGTTTAACGGTCACAGATCAAAATAAATGCTGTTAAAATATTGCTCAAGTTATTGCTATGGAAAATGTTACAATATTGAAGGTTACTTTAAATTCACGCTTCTACATGAGCATTATTGCGATTCCCAGTCACACGCGACCAACTGAGACCTAAATCACAAACGAAAAATTTAGTTTTGGTGGACGTAAGTCAAAAGGGTTTCTTGATCATGTCTAATAAGGATTCCGACTCCGAATTTAAAACACTTTTAAACTGCAAAGCTCTCGGTATTCACTTATCTGATCTTGAAGAAACTCAAATCATATACTATTAGTCAATACGGTTTGTTTTACAGTTAAGCATTTGAGATTCAGAGCCGGAATCCTGTGACATTTTTGTGAGGTATGATAAAATTGAGACCCCTTTCCCTGATCCCCAGGACAAGGTGGAGAGTCTAACGCATCCTTCAACGTTAAAAAATTCAAATTCAAATTTATTTAGACAATGACAGGAAGAACATTTGTGCTATCGGTATGACTAAAGCTAAAGATTAACTCAATTAAGGGAGAATCCTTGATCTCTTATCTACAGTATTATGCTTTCGACAACTTCATCATATCTTAATCCATCAATGATATTTACAGGAGCTGAGTAATCCAAGTAAGAGATCAAGGCTTTTATCAGCCATGGCAATCCTTAAGAAAGCGGTTGGCTTGCTCTCCTCTACCATGCAATCTTATCTTAAAAACCCAACAGATGGACAGGCAAAGGTATCTGATAGTGTGATTTTCTCTCTCAAACTTTTTGCTGGAGAACCTTGCAGGTCAACCTTATCAGAATGCAATTTATAGGAACCTTTGCAGGTCAACCTTTGCATGTTTCCTGCGGTGCACCGGACATCCCCCTAATGCTGTAATTACTCTTATGCTTCTTTGAAGCGATACATAACATCTCTAATACATTTCATTTTGCTCATTCCCCCTCACCAATTCCTGGATCCGCCCCTGTTGGTATGTTAGTATTGATTGTTAAATAAATTGAAGGTTGGATGGTTGCTTATTCAGTTGGTTAGTTAATAGATTGGTTAGTTGGATGGTTCTACTGCAGACCCCTTGCACCGAGTCCCAAGATTATTCTGGGGGACAAAACAATAAATTGCTTTTGCTTTTTTTTGCTTTTTTTTTTTTTTCATAAAAAGACACGCCCTTGCGTGTGACAGCAAAGCAGCTCAATTTGGAGGACAAAACAAAAGAATTTCAATCTCAAAAGCATTGGAAACCTATTGTTATGTCCTCCAAATTGAGCTGCATTCCGAAAATTGCTAAGGGGTCTATTGTTTTGTCCCCCAGAACATTTCATCTAGGAAATCAATGCAAGGAGTCTATTTGTAAATCTACTCAGGTTTTTTGATGTTCTTTCATATGATTTCTAGGCAAACAGGGATTACGTTATTGGTCAAATAAAGTTTGCATGTACAGAAATTATCAAAATAGTAGAATCCAGAGGTGATGAAGATGGGACAATGGAGGAATCTACTAATATGGCCTCTACAATGGAAAAGGTTTGGAAATACAATATTAAAGTTAACGAATGAATGTAACAGGGCCATACTTATTGAAAAAAAAGCATGCAGTAAAATAGTCCATGGTCCATATCTTAAGTCCAGATGTGTGAGGCTTTAGCCGTATGTATGTCTTCATGTATCATATTATATAACACGTGGATCACCAAATGTATAGACCTCTTGCATCACTTCGAAATGAAGCTCAATTGTGGTGAGCTGAACAATTATAGGTCTTCAAGTCTCAGGAGACTGAAATATTTTCTTTTGTACTCCAAATTAAGCTCCTTTGGAGTCGCAAGGGAGTATTAGTAAGCGGTCTATTGGTAGGATTAAAAAAATGTACGATATACGACGTTCTTACTTTTCGACAATAGTAAGAAACGTTTGGTAGAAATGCTCAGGAATATAGCGAGGCCTCGATTATAGTGGTGCAAGGTACCATTTTCCCGCCAAATCCAGCACGATGTCTACTGTTCCTTTTGAGATTTAATACAACTTTAAGAAATTTATTCCGGGAAGGGTCTGTATCGTGCTAGAATTCAGTTAATTTCTCGAAGGGGGAGGGAATCCTTGAGAGCAAAGCCAAGGGTGAGTTTGTGTGACTTCGATACTATATTTACTGCATTTCTGGGTACTTGAGGGATTTTGTCTACAGAGGCACTCGTGAAACTTCCATTAGATCAAAGCTTAATTTATAAATGCGATTTCTTGCTGCTATTATTGTATTAGGCTCATCATCAGCTTGGAGCGAGCACAAGACTAGATACATCAAACCAAATGGACTGTTATCTTGATGCTATAGTACGAAGCAGTATGGCAGTAGCTCACACATGTGATGGAATATACAAAGAAAGAATCGTACAGGCCTGTCAGAAAGTAAGACAGTCATGATTGACGTTAAACTGTCATGTACAAAGATATTAAATTCTGGGCCCGGTTGTACGAAGCCTGAATAGCGCGGATAATCCTTATCCAGTGGATAAGTCGATGCTGTTATCCAATATATTTATCCACTGGATAAGATTTATCCGTGTGATAGCGCTATCCAGGTTTCGTACAGCCGGGCCCGGTTGTTTAGGAATGCCATGGTTAAAAAAGAATCTTGCCAAAGGCTTCAATAATTATTTTTTTGTTTGTTTGTTGATATAATAAACTAGCTGAATGGACCCTTTCCAAAAGTATCGTGGTTGTGAGACTAACATGGAAATACTAAAGAAATGATACCTTTCCTCGGCATTCCATTTGTATTTCCATGTTAACCTCGCATTCGAGACAATGTTAAGAAGGGCGGTGCATTGCAAAATCATTGTCTGGTTTAAAAACATAGACAAAAGAAGTTGAGACCGAAATGGTACATGGGTGATACGTTAATCAGATGTATCTAGTGATACAACTCGTGGATTGTTCATAAATTATTGCACCGACAGAATGCAGGGAGGCTACAGTATTAACACATCTTTTGACTGTGTATCTCAAAACAATACACCAGAGGATAAATATGTCATTTCCCAAAATACTTTACCTTTCTGTTTCAGCTTCTATTTTCCATATTTTGAGCCCGATAATAATGATGTATTTCCATTATTCCTATACATTACAGTTATAACATTTCCGCCTCACCATTGTATTTCCGTTACTTTTTCTTCTACTATTCTGCTCTTCTTTTTTCCTTCGTTCCTTCTTTTTTTCTTCTTTTTTTTTTTTTTTTTTTTTTTTTTTTTTTTTTTTTTTCTTGTTCTAAGAAAAGATATACAGTAACCTTTTTGCCTTGACTTTTAGGTTTTAGAAACACGAAACGAGCTAGCAGATTTACAGAAGGCAGTTATGTCAAGCCCCGATTCTCTCAGGAAAAGGTATGCGCGTTTTGAACGAGTTTAATTTTTCTCGACGACTGATTTTAAGTGGGCTCCCCCTTGTTAAAAAATTATCATTTAATTGGACTAAACTATGTGACCTTGGAAATTCAGATGGTTGGTTTTTTTTGTCTTCCGTCGATTAAAAAATTACGGGATCTAGACTGTTAGACTCAGGTCAAACGCGGAACTTCACATGATTTGCACCTAATTGAAACAATGGATAAAAAGGCCGTCTTCTTTATTAATTTATTATTAATATATTAATTAATATTATTACATAATTACCAATGAAATATCTATTTTTCTCTATTTCGAAAAATTGTTATCTTCACACGTGAAAATAACATGTCATTTTCACGTGTGAAGATAACACCATTGCGATGGCTATTCAAAAATACACGGAAAGAATTGCCTGAAAAAGCCAAAACATACTTCATTGATAATTATATAATAAACAGAATATTACATGGGTGCTTGGAGATACGAAATTTATCTTCGAGTGTTGAAAATATCTCACTGTTCGCGTAATCTCCGCGCGCCCATGTAATATCCTCTATTTAATGTTTATTTGATTATTATTATTATTATTATTATTATTATTATTATTATTATTTGATGAAAGACGTCTTACCGCTTTGTAGTTCGTGCTTGAGATCGCAGGCTTGGTTCTCCGCTAAGCCAAACAATTATTTTTAATTATGTGAATTGAGTTTGTTTGGCGTGTTCTGCTCTTCCTTGCCACGAGTGTTTTTTCCAGGTTCTTCGGTTTTTCTCCCTCCGTAAAAATTAAAATGCCAGTTGAGTGTTGTAAATATAGAATGTAGTGGTAGTGCGTGTGGAGGGAACCTCACGGAAGAGCCCCGTACAGGGAGTGGTGGTACGGAAGTTTGAGATGGAAGAAACCGAAAACATGCGAGGGAAAATACCTCGTCTTGATTTGGGTTCCATAAATATTAAACTGATGTGTGTCATCTTGTTTGTCAATAGAAGAGAATTTGACATGACAGCAGAAAAGTTGTCTGTTGAACTGAAGAAACTTGACCGCCAGGTGACGACTGCCATTGCAGACCAAGTGAGCACGATGTTTTGTGATGTGGAACTGCCTGTCTATCAACTATTGGCTGCTGCTACTGCTCCAGTACCTGTAAGTATCATCCCAAACTGAGAGGATTGGAAATGGAGGTAGTCGTGTGGGTATTAGAGAGAGAGGGAGGGGGGTTATTGCTGGTTTTAATGCCCATTGATGAAGCACACTTGTATTTCTGTAGACACAACGCAAATGCAATTAAGTTTTTGCTTTAGCGCAAAAATAATAAGTAAAAATAAAGTGTGTATGATATTAGGTTTCGTGAGAAAAACAGGAACATTCTATTTCGATTATTTTTACATGTTCCAGAACGCAGCTATTTCTCGCTACCACCATATCTAAAATCACGTTGCAGGGCTGTACACAGATCCTTGAAAACTCTTTGAATTTTGCATTTCTTTAGAAAACTAAAAATGAAACGAAAATGTCCTTGACTTTGCATTAATCATCCTTGGAACACAAAGCAATTGTTTTATACTGATTTTACGAAAAATAAATTTGATAATATTACTAATTGGATTCCTGATATCAGTGCATGCAGTGGAGACTGAGGATGGCTTTTACGTGAACCGCAGTCCTGGAGTAATGCAGGCTCAATACATGTGCTCGAGCTATRTGAATAGAGTATTTTAGTATTTTCCTTCTAGTTTCTTCTGATTGTTTCATTTCCCGATAGGAAACGATGAAATTAAAGGGAAGGTTTGCTGCCCTTGAAAAAACATCGTAAAACTTCCATTAAAAGTCCTTGAAAAAAAGTGAGAATACTTGTGTACACACTGCGTTGGCAGAGCTAAAAAAAATACACTACGCATTGGTAGCTTTATTGAAAGCTTGGAAATAAATTATTTTTGGTTGAAGAAACATTTACAGCAGTTATGAAACCAACCTATAAAACACCACTTGGCATGAGCTTTATTGATAGTGACTGAATATGTGACCACGGGGGAACCCCATTGGACTACGCCAACGATACGGCGACCATCTTGGATCGCAGGGCATAACGGGGCATCCAGGGGGCAAATGAAGCTTTGTTACAGTAATGACGTCTATTGATATCAAGAGCTCACCAAACGAGAATACAACAAAAGATGGCACCTCGATCACCTTTATCCATAAAAGAAAGACCAACCAAAACTCCATTTGTTTTCTGTTATCTTTGATAGCCACCTTATCGCGAAACGGTCCATTTGAGCAGATACGTGCCAGGGAACTTGGACCTTAATCAAAGTCAGCGCACGGCTAGTTAACAGATTGAGATTTAGATTTAGCATTTAGGAAGAAAAACCCTCGAATCAAGGGAGAGACCTAGAAATCTCTACTCACGTGTGTGTCTGGGAATCGGACCTGAGAACCCTAACGATGAGAGAGCGAGTGGACTTTTACTACACCACATTTTCCTACCCGCTTAATCCGAATTCAGGAACAGGATTTAAAAACTCTTGAATTCGAAGACTAATGAGCGCGATAGCTCTAAGAAGCAACATCTTATGCTTGAAGGTTTCAAGGTTTCAAGGTTTTTTTATTTCCCAGAATGAGAATTTTATACTTTACATTACTATTTTAAAAAACTTAACTGGGAGGAGCAGAAGAAAAACAACCCAAAAGGGTTAAGAGAATATTTCTGCACCTTGGAACTATATAATACTTTCAAAGAAGGGGGAAAGAGGCAAAACGAAAATAGATTCAATACACATAAAACGTTATATACAATAAAGTGAAGTTTGAACTAAATTAACGTAGGAAATAAAGTTAAATTGAAGCAAAACCTAAATAGAATCAAAATTCTAAAGCAACAGATGTTTTTTAAGCTTATTTTTAAAGACTTTATGTGTTGAACTGGTTTTTATATTATGTGGTAATTCATTCCAGCTTGTGACAGCTGCATACTTAACACCAAACTTCCCATAATTCAGGTTTACTGGAGGGACATATAAATTCTTTTTGATTTAGACCGCGTATTGTAATTGTGAATTAAATCTGGTAAATGGTGGTCAGTAACTCATCAGGGAGTGAAACGTCTAACAGCCATATAATACATTTCTTTAGTGGRATGGAATTTTCAATTTGAAAATATATCCCAAATGCTTGATTAAAGATTCAGTGAATCTCCTCTGAAAGAGGAAATATTCTGCGCGTGATATGCAGTAAGAGAAGTGGCACTTGAAACTAAACTCACAATTCCAAACATGGTGTCAAAACTCCTAATTTCAGTTGATCGCATATCTAAATTTTCTTTAGCTTGTTTATAGTGTTACACTTTTCAACTCCCTTATAAGTTTCTGATGTGTTTTTTCCCCCAGAGTGGCAGTACGACAGCCCAGGATCAAGCCCTTCTGAAAACAAGACAAAAGGCAGATCAGTTCGATAAACACACGGCCAGGCTGGTACAAGTGTCTAGGCAAGCTGCTTCAGTATCTGCTGATACAGGGAGTAAGTTTGATGTAATACATCTCTAAAGAGTACTGCATATACAGCTTTTTTTCAAAAAAAACAACATTAGCTGAAGATTTTATTGCATGCTGCATGTTATATGTTGTAATTTGCATGTTGAATGTTGCATTTTGCATACCAAGTCCGAACTGCACTATCGGAGATGTGACGACAATCAGCGAATTGTTAAAACAAAGCTAATAGAAAAATATATATAAACATGTATATTATCTAAACATTGCACCAACCTTTTTTGAAATAGCTGTATATACTGTAAACGTAAGGCCACGCCATCGATCCATCCATCCATCTCTCCGTCCGTCCGTCCGTCCGTCCGTCCGTCCGTCCGTCCGTCCGTCCGTCCGTCCGTCCGTCCGTGCATCCCTCAATCCATCCATCCATCCATCCATCCAACAATTCATCTATCCAACCATTCATTAACTCGCTCACTCAATTCATTATTTTGTTTGTGATGTTCACAGGAGTTCATATCATCAAAGCAATATCAGCAGAACTCGAGAAAATGGCTCCAGTAATCGCCACAACTGCTTGTGCAGTGAGGCAAAACCCATACGATGCAACTGGTGTGGAGAGACTGGGACTACTACGTCAAGAGTGGGCCAATAGACTACAGATATTGACGGATGCTGTAGATGATGTGACAGATATACAAGACCTGATGGACACTACAGGTTGGGTTTTTTATAATTGTCTAAATGAAGTCAAACCGAATGAAATAAATCGTCCTTGAATAGCAGATATAATGGACGCATGTAAATAAGATAGAAATGAGATGCGAGCGAAATGCAAGTAAAGGTGCAAATTAGATGCAAAAGGAAGGCAAATAAAATGCAAATGAGATGCAAATGAGACAACAACCATTTATAATAATAATAATAATAATAACTTTATTTAAGTCTCTATCTTCTAGCCGGGCACAAGTACCCTACTAATCGGGGAGACTAATTTGATCGGCCCGATAGCCTCACTTGTATGATTCGTAAAACAAAAGACTTTATCATTGCGGGGTCAACTGTAATAACAGCTATTGTAGCACTTGATACCCAGTGGCTAAAGTAAAGAGGTGTATTTTATCGCCTCCAGAGCTTAAATGCAAATGTCTTCTCACCGCTTTTGCATTGTATTTTAGAGGCGCATGTACAGCATGATGTCGCACTGTGTCACGAAGGACTAATAGAAGAGAACACCGCTAAAATAGTCCAGGCTTCTAGAGACGTGCTCGGACGAGGGCATCGCGTGGTCCAGATAGCAAAGAAGGCCATGGCGAGTACTGCGAATCCGTTATTCAAAGGAGAACTACTGACAGCAGCGAATGAATTAAACACAGGTACGTATTATATTATATTATATTGAATAGCGCTCTTACTCTCAGTCCATAACCCCCTCTATCCCTCCCTCCATCCATCCATCTATTTTTCATTCCTTCATTCCATCCACTTTTTCTTTTTTCCTGAATTCCTCCCTCCCTTGCTTCAATGCATCCATCCAGGCTTCCATTTACTCTCCCATTCGCTAATTYTTACATTCTTCCACTCTGATAATTATTTATCCATATTTAAATGTRACAATATCACTAGGAATAAATTCATAAAGTTGCCTCATTTGATCTCTTTCAGTTCTTCCTAACCTAAGTGCTGCCATCGAGAGAGCCATGACCAACCTGAATAACAGTGAAATACGAGAAAAGGTCAGCGATAGTATCAGAAGTGTCGGCGAAAAGATTAAAACTATCAAAACAACTGTGACAAGACCTACTGGTAGTTCACTAGGTAATGTTTATCAGTAGCAATCAATGGTGTTGTGGTTCGATTCCTGGACTCGGGATCACCTGTGAGCAGAGTTTGTAAGGCGTTCCTCGATTCAAGGGCTTTCCTTCCTCTGCAAAACCTAATATTCCAATAGACTGTTTTCTCAAGGTTGCGTGCGCATCCAACTTGACGGGCCACAAAACTGAAAAACGCAAATYCAGTAAAATTGAGAAGACAGTTTTATATTTAAAGAGGAGAATAATCGATTTTATGAATTCTTATCGTAAACAATTTCGTAGAAGCACTGCAGTGCATGATAATATACTCGTGTTCTGGTATCATGGCCCGTCAAGTTCCTTAAATTTGGATGCGCACGCAACCTTGGGGAAACAGTCAATTCGATCTGTGAGTTCCTGGCTGAGTGGGCCATCCCAGGATATCGATAAAATTGAAAATTTTCATACTGTAATAAAAAACACGTTTTATTGGCTTAAAGCGTTAATTCATCGTCACAATTGTCACCTTGAAATAACACGGATTCTCACTGGAACAAATGAATGTCTTACGCAATATCATTGCTTGAACCAAAGCAACAAAAGCAAAATTCAAAACTAGAGTATTTATTCGTTTTGCTATTGATGGTTTTCACAGCCGCCATGTTGGATGAATTTAACAAAAGATCTGTCATTAGTCTCTTGTTATATCATCCAACATGGCCGCCGTGTCTTTTGTTGCTTCTCTCTTGGGAATGATTGATAACCAGCATACTTTGATTATCATTATTTTACTTTTGATAGATTTTATCAACGACAACCCGACACAATCTGAAGCAGGCGACTTCATTTCTATGCCAACAAGCAATGATCTTGAGGCCATTAAACCTGGTTCGTAGATTTATCTTTATTATGATCTTTATTATTAGTTTCGACAGTTGGTTTGTTCGAAACGTAAACATCCTCATCCTCCTTAATTAACGTAAACACTCTCCTTAATAGAGAGTTTGAGATTCCCGTTTACGGCACTAAACGTGAAACGTCAGTTGAATATCAAAAAATTATTAAGATTAGTGGAAAGGAATCGGAAAAATCTCCAAGTAGTAGATAAACAAAAGAATACTTGTCTTTGTCGAGAAGGTTTGAAAAAGGTAAAGTGAAATGTAGGGAAACGATAAAAACGTGATCATGTTTGCCGTTTGAGGGAAGGAGAAACGGGAATCTTAATCTGCCTAATTTTTCACCAAAGTACGGGAAGCACGAGTGGTGCCCTCAATCATGTGTGATTAGAGTTGCTTGTTGGTTCTCTTCTGTGCCACGAGGGTTGTTCTCCATGTTCACCGGTTATCATTCCTACCTAAAAAAAACTTCCAAATTTCAATTTGATCTTGGGATAAGGGCCACAGGTTTGTTAGCAACTGGCTATAAAGACATGCTATTGTAAAACTGCAAAGATGCTTAATTTATACTTGATGGCGAACTATCAAACATGGCAAGAGATAAGTGTTTCTTTGTAGGTTTTTATCATTAGTATAGATGAACAACTTCAACTTCCCCTCGATGAGTTTTTGCTCTTATGGTTAATATGTGTTTGAATATGTTGAAATAAAAAAAGAACTGCTTCAACCATTAAACCTTAGAATTATAAATTGCATAACCAAGGTTTTGGGCCAAGTAAATCACTAACTATACTAACTAGTTTCATTATTAATTGACTATTAGCATATCTTTATTCTATTCATTATTATTATTTCCTTCTAGCGAATGGAATTTCCTCGTATCAAGAAGATGTTGTACAACCAGAAAACGAAAGAATTACTTCAAGTTCGCCATCACTAAAGTTGCTTGAAAATGAAGTCGAGGATGCTCCTGCTCCAAGGGCTAAACCCTTGCTTACTGTAAGTACGAGGGATCGGAAAGGGATTTACGACCGCAGGCATGTTGTGCGGCGAAACGGTAGAAAATGTTCTCCTCTTTTTAAGGATATTTGATTTTTCTCTCTTCATTCAAATCAACATGTGAGGAGAATATCGAAAGTACTATTAACATAGGGCCCAAGCAAGATTGAATGTTCAACTGTGGCGGTAACACACCACAGAAACATAGCTTGGGCCACCTTGAATTTCCTTGATGTATTTTATTATCGGTTAGCGTTTTCTTTATTTTGCATTTTCCCCCCTTCTGCTTACCATGTTTCCTAATCACACGCGCGAAATTTGCCGTCGCAACCAAATAACGTTTTGCTGTACGTCAATCAAGGCATTTGCATGACATTATTGAAAAACAAAAAGTTTGCATTGGCACGTGCCTATGGAATGCGTTGGAAACGATTTGATTGACGTCCACCAAAACTTACTTCGTAACCAAACGACTTTAACTACATTATTGTAGTTGGTCAGCACGATTACATTTCACAGCTTTACTAATATAATGAAATGCATTTGCGATACTTATATTAGTTATATTATTAAAAAGCCAAAATCCACTTTATTGTAGACGGAAAAGAAACTGTTGTCGAGTCGACCAAAATCCACATCTTCCCCAAGGCTTTTTAGGAAGCTAGACAACACAAATCTTAGCCGAAGTCTTGAAAGTCTCCTCGTGAAACCACTGGAAGATATGAAAGACGTAGACAAGAGAGCGCTCTTAGGTATGGCAACCTATGGCTCGAGTTAATGACCAAAAATATTAAATTCTCTCAACCAACCTATTTGATATCCTGTGTACAGTATTCAAGAATTTAACTTTGCAAAATGACATTAGATTTTAAATTAATTTGAATTTTAAACTCTTGGGCTGATGTAAGTCAGGTCACGTTTAACTCACAGATCGAATACTTTTGATTTATTCCATTTGCTATACACCTAATTAAAAAAACGTTGTCGGGTTCAAAAAAAAAGGTTATATCATCAAAGCTAAGACCGAAGGGGAGCATGGGAAGACAAACAATTATGCTAACTTCATGCGTATTGCAGTTTTCCCTTCCTGTGCACATTTTATGCATCATGGCTTTGGCATGTTGTTAATCTAGGTCGACCGACTTGGCTCTACTGTGCATYTYTACATRTCTRTATGCAAATATAATACACATTTCGGAGAAACCAAAATCCTTTTCGGTCTTAGCTTCGATGATATGACCTTCTCGAAACCGACTACGTTTTTTAATTTTTTAATGTTGGTGAAGGTTTTTTTTTTTTTTTTTTTTTTTTGCATGTTCTTTGTGTTGTATGCTACATCTTGCTTACTTAAGTTTGAATTTATTAAAGTAATATTTAAATAATGTCAGAATCGAGAAACAATTATGCCTTATGCCAGAAAAATATGCAGACGAAGTTTGGTAAAATTCCGTATTGCTGTGACCTTTCACTGATTGGATTGTCATCGCCCGCGTGGCATGCAGCAAGCAACATTCAACATGCATCAAAACATTCACCAGCCTTTTTTTGAAATAGCTGTATTCTGTTTGAAGGAATCCTTGCTTGCTATTGAACCATCTACCAAATATTAATCATTAGTTTTTCTTACCCAAGACTATTCTAAAATGCGCAGTACTCGTTTTCACAATTCATATGCTTTTTATTTTTCATGAATATCAGTATTTGTAAGGGCGTTGAGAAAAACATATTATCATTAATATTATTATCATTATCATTATTATTATTATTATTATTATCATCATCATCATCATCATAATCATTATCATTATTATATTACTAGTTTTACTTATATTTATCTCATTTATCATGTCTTCTGTCTCCAGGACTTGGTAATGGAGCAGACACCAACTCCAGTCATCTAAGCACCCTGTTAGGGCAACCCTTAAACCCGTCCCGTACCTCGAGGGCTCCTGTTACACGATTGATTCGAGCGGCAAAGGAAGGTGACCGAAATAACATCGAAAAACATATCAAAAACCTCGTTTCCCAGGTTACGAAGCTCATGGAGTTGGCTGAAAAATGTGTCGAGAAGTCCAGCAAAGTGGAACAAGTTAGGTAAAGTGGATGTCTTCCTTTGAGAAATAATAATTACTGGGTTTCACTTGTCGTCATTTCCTGTCTCGTGCGGAATGTTCGTCAGCTGAATCGCAATTTGTTTAAAATATTAATTTCGGACTGACGCAGATGGTGGTTTGAAGAAGATAAGGAGATTCAAGGTGAAATCCAAAAATATATCAAATTTTGCTGCGGAGCAGATTTTGAAAGATTCAAGGAAGAAAGGTGCCAAGTCGAACACGTGACGAGGAAGGTGTCGTGCTCGAGCATTTTGATTGAATAAGCAGTGGTCACGCCTGCTGTGACTGGCTGAATATGGATGCCATCAAATCAATGCCATGTTGCTACCCAGTCTATTTTGATTGGATGAAAAGTGATCTCGCGCGCTCTCATTGGTTCAGTGGATGTTTTGCAATTCGTGCAGTGACCGAATTCTTTCTTGTGACTTATCGAAGGCATTCGTAGTCTACTACATAACATTTATCTTTGCGTAGGTTTTCATTAAAGACCTTATACCTAAATGTGATTACGTTACCATCCAAACATGACATCAACTCGAAATCGAAACTGTAAATCGTATAGTGCATCAATACAGTTTGTATGTAATAAGGAAAAGAACAAGCTTCTAAATTGAATGGTGCTAAAAAAAGGGAATAACTGTAACAAAAAAGTATTACAATTTACTTCATGTCCTAATTTGTTTTTCTTTTAATATTACAGCCAAATTCGTACTGCATCTGGAGAAATCGAAAAACTCACCCCAATCATAACCCAGGCCGCTCGTGATGTCACAGCCAACTCGCGTAACTTCAAAGCCGTGGAGCGCTTGCATATGATTGGACGAGAGTGGGCGTCGAAAGCCCACTTACTTGGTAATGCTATAGATGAGATTGTAGCGCCTTGGTCAGCGGCTGCCTCGAAGCTTGCATTGAAAGCTTCCTCGGGAGATGCAGATGAGCTTAAAAAACAGGTAAAACCGGAAGTGTTATTTTAGGAAGCCAGCAAAGCTTAATATGACGTTAAAGAAGTTTTGATTGTCGCGGTGGAAACAGCGTCCACGTGCACTTAAACTGCCCATGGTAACTTCTTTCACATTTATTTACTGGACACGTCTATTAAGTTATCATTGTGCAAGGATTACCACCGATSTCATTACTACGCGCTGGGCTTGCATTTTCATTTGTGAAAGAAGACGCTATGTTTGATATTTGAGGGCCGTAAATTTAAAAAAAAAATGTAATAGGTTGATGTCATCCCCCGTCGAATAACGTTAATTGTATTGTATATTTAAGAAGACTTTCAACCGTCTATTATATTGTCTTGTCAGATTAATAACATAAACAGTGAAGCAGTTCGCCTACGTCAGCTATCATCTGCTGCCAAGGCTGCTGCTGATGCAGAGGACTACGCGATGGATCCTGGGAATGAAAGTGACGTCTTAGAACGGGACCCAGCCTCTTTACAGCGGATCGAGTTACTGCGTGTGTCGTCAAATGAAATTGACAAAGTTTTACCCGAACTAATACTAGCTGCGCAGGTAAGTTAATGTTTTTTATTCTTTTTTGCATTACTCATACTCTTTATTCCTTTCCTAACTTACTCTCTTCCTCCTTCTCTCTCGACTTCTCTTCTTTCTTCTCGCACCTTTCCTAAATAAATCCATTCCTTCCTTCGTTTCTTCATTCGTTGGTTTCGCCCTCCCTGAATTACTTCGCTCGTTCTTTCTTACCCTATTTTGATTGTTCCCTCTTTCCTTCCTTCCTTCCTAAATTTCTCATTTTCTCTTACTCATGCTTTTTTTAACATTGCGTAATCCTTCATTTGCACATGACGTCATAGCCGCCATCTTGGTTGAATTTAACAAAAGGCTTGTCAATGAATTCTTTTGTTATATCATCCAACATGGCCGCCGTATGTTTTGGTTTGTTTGTTGTTTTTTTTACTCCCTTGAGATTGAATGAAAGCCAGCAATATAACTTTACTAACTTAAATGTATTTCTCCATATAGTGATAATTTATTATCATTCGTTTTCAGTCGGTGATCGCAAACCCAACAGAAATCACTCGAGTAGAAGCACTCGAATTGTTGCGTAGGGTCTGGGCCGGCAATGTTAATAATCTTATTATGGCAGTCGATGATGTAACCGTAGGGACCTCGGCTCCAGTCGAGCATTTGACCAATGCTACTTTGTCTGGTGACTATCATGCTTTGCAGGAAAGGTTACGGATGGTGACGTCATACACCAGATCGCTTAAAGAAATGACAAGTGCAGCAACAGTTGGGTAAGTCTCATGGTTTCGTCGAACAAACTATAGGCAGAAACTAAATTGAAGGCAAAATCTTTCATATGGTGTTTGTTAAGGTGGCTGACTACTTTTCAACATTCGATTTGARCCCACGATGTGTGCGCGCTCAAAAACCGCTGAAAAATCTTCACGATTTTATTGTGAACCATACACGTGTTGCACTTCAAGAGGGCAAAACCCTCAAACTTTGCACGGGACTCAGTATATATATATTATATTTTCCAGAATAACATTTTTTTAATACGATTCTGTTTATTAAAACAATGTAAAACATCGTACTGTTTGTTTTGTGCTCAATTTTTACGATAACTTGCACAACGTAAAACTGACCTGAACAAAAAAATAAAGTTATTCCATCCCATCTATTATAGTGTATTAAAACGACTTTTATCAGTATTTTTTTGAATATCACAAGCGAGATGTTAAATAAATCGTATAGTAACAACTGTCGATCTATCTTGAATCTAGATGTTCTAATCCGAAGAAAGCCGCTCTCGTGGAGTCCACTATCGGATCTGTTGAACGATTAACCGCTGACCTACAAGACACGACACGCACCGTCATTGATCTCAGCACTCGGGAAAACAAGACATTGGAACAACAACTTGCTTTTATGAGTATCGAGGAGAAGATGAATCTGATGCGCAGGGAGTGGGCCACAAAGGTACGTTATAGTTAATGTTTATTTAATTAGCTCGTTCGCCTGTCACCTTTAAGGTCACTGGTTCGAATTGTAGTCTTGGTAGCACATGTGAATATAGTTTCTTGGGTCTCACGCTATGTTAATACAGTATCTTGGTCTGACAAAAGTATACTCTCAAACTTTTTTGCATACTTGGAGAAAACAAACATTTCTTTTCTCACTCAAACTCTTCAAAATTCTTAGAAAACGTGCTGAAGTGCACGCATGCGCAAACGTTTTTCCCTGTTGTCGTATACAGTATGGTTTATATTGACAGGTTCATCTTCTGACCGCTCTGGTAGACGACCTAACTGCGCATGTCTCTGCTCCAGTAGACCGCTTGGCAGGAGCAGCACTCGCCGCCACTAAAGCCGAGTTAGGACAGAAACACCTTATGGAGAGAGAGTTTGAAGATCAAGCACAAGAACTGTCCAGACGAGTGGTGCGGGTCAGAAACCAAGCCAGTAAAGCGGTCGAAAAATCCACTCATCCGAGTCAAGTCAGGACTGTTCGAGTTACTGGGGACTTTATTGATAGGCTGACACCACAGGTTATAGGTGCGGCAAGAGCTTTGGCAGGTATGTGACAATGTGTCGAGGTAATAATAAACCGATGGTCATTGGAGGTACACGACTTTTTTTTTCCTCCATTACTTTTGACATAAATATAGCCATTGTTTTGCCTTGGAGCTCTGCAGCCTACAAGCATCGGGCCATTGAAAGAAATAAGGGGGGAATGAAGGGAAGAAAGAAATAAAAATAATAAATAAACAAGAAATGAAGGAGGAAAACTGAAGAAAGAAAGTAAAGAAAAATTGATTATAACAAAGAGATAAAGAAAAAAGTATAAGAAGATTTATGCTATCAATTTAGTTCTTCGACGATACGACGGCCATCCTTCCTTTGCAAGGCATTTTGAGTCACCCAGGGGTAAAATAAAACAAAGATTCTGAAATGATGACCCCACGATATTTGAGAAATTTCCTCAGTTGTGGAACTGTCCATTTTCAATTTTTTTTAAAAATTCATCTCTTTTCAAATTGTCTTGTTATGAACCTTAAATGTCAATGGACGCCATTATTGTAACAAAGCTTTGTCTATTTGACCCCCGGATGCCCTACAATGCCTTGTGATTCAAGATGGCCGCCGCATGGCTTAGTGTTCAGGTGAAGGTGAAGTTATTCATAAAAAAAAGAATAACTAATTAGACATTAGAATCTCAAGATTCATTCATTATACGATGGTTCACTTAGATAATCCTGACCAGGATACAGTGGAACACTTTCAGATGCTTAGACGTCAATGGGCATCCAAGGCCCAGTTGCTAATAGCAACACTTGAAGGACTACCTGATGCAAACATGTTAGCTGTGATGTGTAAGTGATTTGATTCGTGCCTTAAATAAGAATACAATAACATAGAATAGAATACAATAACATAGAATAGAATAGATTAAAATAGATTAAAATAGAGTAGAATACAATGGAATAAAATAAGATAGAATAGATTAGAATACCTTTATTTTAACACGACAATATTTAAAGCTAAAAGCTGGTGGGGTCGTGCATATACTGAAATGGAGTAATAAATAAAATATGATATAAATATATGGTATAAGTAAATTCGTAATCCAAAAATATCGTATGTTCTAAATATTGTGGCACTCTCTCACGCTCACTCACCATTCTGATTTACATGTAAAAGAATTCAGTGAAGCTTAGGGAGAAAAGACTATTGCATGTTGTTCCTCCTATCATGGCTGCCATCGATCAATTTATGGTGCAAAGCCTCTATAGTCATACACATACTATATTTGAAAGTATATTCATTATCTAGGGTGCATTTATTTATTCATTCGTTCATTCATTCACTCACTCATTTTGTCTGTTTGTTTGTTCGTTTGTATGTTCGTTTGTGCGTTTTTATGTCGTAATGTATGCTAACTTGTAGTTTTGTAATGAATCAGAGTTCAAAATCGTATACTCTAAAAGGAAAAATGTCTTTCCAGATTTGGTGTTTTGCTATTTGTAAGACCTTTATGTTTTTATTTAAGCTGTTGTGCAAGATCTTCTTAGTACTCGAGCAAACCTTCAAGGAGCAGCAAGTTTTGAGTCTTTAACAGAAGATGATTCCATTGCAATATCAGGGACACCTCGACTCTTACCATCTGCCACAGACTCGAGTAAACGTCAAGAACCTGTTGCCACGCAATTCACGCCACCTCGACGGACCCCATCTCCTCCAAGGAAGACTTTTTACGTATCTCCCAAACCAGCACTGAAACCATCACCAAGGAAAAGGGCACCAAAGGTTTTCTCAGCTTTTGATGATTCTGACATTGGTAGAAAGGTAAAATATATTTGTCATTTTATTCCCATTTCCTTTGTGACGAATCTTTTCGTAGCACGGAATCCACAGTCATTATTTTGAATTATCKCATATTTAATTTGTGAACTAGAATAATAATACTTCCTTTTGAAAGATGGGATCTAAAATACCATATGTTTGTTGTTGCTAGACACGCCACCATCACCGTGCACTGTCTGATAGTGAAGCTCTTCCAGACAGCCCTGAACAACGTGTTCCTATTGGTGCATCAAGCAGTGAAACAGACCTCAAGTCTCTATTAGTACAGGAACTAAACGATAGATTTTCGTCAAATGAGTCTCTTAAACGGTCTAAATGGGATGCGAGGTACTGGGCTAAGTTTGAAGTGGAAAGACTGAAACATCAACGTGCCTTCAGTATGGCTAATCTATCGAGGACTAGTCCTGAATGGAGATCAGATTCGGCTGAAGACTTGAGGGCAAGGAAGAGTTCAAAGTCCATTGCTGTAAGTAGCCAGTGTTCTGGTTTTGTCTTGTTTTATTTATTTATTTTTATTTATTTTTTATTTTTTTATTTTATTTTATTTTATATTTTATTTTA